ATTAAAGGGTAATTTTCTCTTTTGAGTCAGTGTTGGTTTTATTTCCCAAATAGTTAGCTCATCCAAATTATGTGGGTTTTTCTTCATAATTTCGATTATCCTTTTATGTCTGTAGCACCTTCAATGGTAATTTAGCTTTCATTACTCACATTGATAATTTTGAGGGTGTTTTTTTTCCAGAATAACTTTTTATTTATGAATATTTTTATTAGAGGGTTCTTACATCTATCACAATCCATATTCATCCATTTTTGTCAAACACATTTGTACATATGCTGCCATCATTTTCAAATCATTTTCTACTTGAGCCCTTGATATCTGCTCATTTTTTCCCATCCCTCATGAACCCCTGGTAAGCTATATCTTACATTGTCCTGTTGCCCTTCACCCACTTTTCTGTTCTTCGTCCTCCTGGGAGGGGGTTATATGTTGATCGTTGTGATAATTTTATCTTGATCAATCTTGCTAAGGGTTTACTTTCTCAAAGAATCTTTTATCATTGATTGCTTTCAATTTCTTGGAGATCTTGACTTTCTTTTAGAGGTATGAATTATGATTACGGATTCTGGCTTATAATCACCTCTGAAATGAGCATTGGTGGCACAATGGGTTAAACATTAGGCCCCAAACAGCAAGCCTATCAGCTCTCCCTGGAGAATGATTATTTGGAAAGCCTATGGAGCAGTTCTAGTGTGTCCTGTTAAGGGTCTTTCTAATTCAAGACCTATTTGACAGCAGTGGGTTTCCCTCCAAACACTAGAAACGTATCATTTAGAGTAAAATGTGTTCTAATTTCTCTTGTAACTTTTCCTTCATAGTTTACATATTCACTTATTTGAGTGTTCCAGATACTGCATTGCTACTGACTTCCAAATTAATTTCTTATGGCTAAAATACAGTGTGAAATTTACTGAGACCAGTTATATGGCTCATCTTTATGGTCTACCCTCATGAGTTTCACGTGAATAAAAAGTTTACTGAGTATAATATTCTATAAGTGCTATTAGGGCCTAGGTAGTTGATAGTGTTGACATCTTCATCCCTGTTATTTCCCTGAAGCAGTGTTAAATATCAACCTATACTTATTTCTGTAGGATTGTTTCACACTCACTTTTGCTAAGTATATTTTGAAGCTCTATTAAGTGCATTTATATTTATTCCCAACTAGATGCCCCTCATTCCTTATGACTCTCTGCTAATAAGTCCTTGTCTTCAAGTAGATTTTACTAATATAGGCCACCCCAAATTTATGACTATTCTTTGCAGGTTACATCTTTTTCACAGGACTGGGCAAGCGTTTCATTCTGTTGTACACAGAGCTGCTGAGTAGGTATCGACCGCATGGCACCTAACATATTTGCCTATTCTTTCATCTTCTAACAATTAGTGTATTTATTTGTACTGAATGTGATTCTTTGTTATTTGAAAAGATGTATACACCTTTTAATTATATTTAGTTCACTTATTGTATTATCAGTAGTATGAACCTTGGAGCCGTGCAATTCCACTTATCCATGACCTCTGTAATACAATATTGGAGAACAGATCAGATTTTTTAGGTAACTTTAAACTATATATACTTGTGCATAAGCCAAGTTTCGCAGCACACGTTTAACACGGTTTTTGTGGTAAAATCAGGTGCCAGCTGATATTCGGGTCACCTTATACTCGAGTATATACGGTAGTTTTAAAAAGATGTGGTTTGGCATTTTGGTTTCATAGTCATTTCATGGCATTTTGAGCATTAAAATTGTGAACAAAACAGGTTTGAGGGAAACAATGGTGCTTATTGCAACCCTTCGTTCAGTATAAAGAAGTTCTACATAAATTTATTGATCTTTGCACCCAATATTAGATTGACAATGACAACACATTTCTCTTAAAACTTCCACTTCTCAGCTAAAGAATTTGGTATCAGATATCAGATTCAAATTTTACAACTTAATCTGTCTCCACAGCCTGCATCAATAGACCTACTAGTTATGTTGTGTCTGAGTGTAAGCGGGGAGAGTTGATATCAGAACACACAAGAGAACCTTCCATCTAGTTTTGTAGACAACAGCACCGAGAAGTTGAAAGGATAGTAACCTTACAGACTGTCAACTATGAAAAACTCTACAGCAGCAGCAGACACTGAAAAGCAATGCAGTCTAGGGCATACCAACAAGGACAGTATCACTTAAGGCGACTTAGTAACACCAAGGGTGTAACTGCACAACTGGAGAACTACTGGTCTTAACAAGCCTTATAATTATCGTTAGAAACATAAAACATAAAACCAAATAAAAGATTTAAGTAACAGCGGTAATAATTGTGTGTGCTTAAAGGGTATCATTCATGTGATACATGCTTTGCTTCCCAGTAGAGACATTCTATCAAGTTGGTGAGAGTTCTCCAAATAAGTTCAATAGACTTATGTTAAGACAACATGTGTATTGAAAGTAGCAATTTTATTTGAGTTAAAATTATTTACAAAAACCCAAAGACATACTTCATGAAACTGGTACAAACTATTTTTTTCCTGCCGTTGGCTTTTGCTCCAAAGATCACAGCTGAGAAATACTGTATAAAATAAAAATAGGATTGGATTCAGAAAAGTACTCTACTGCTCTAATTTCCAATTGGCAATATTTACAGAAATATTTACAGTGGAAAAAAAGGTTACTTTAAAACTTTAATTTGCAAGTCAGCCTCAAGTACCCTAAAATGCAGAGTTCTCTGAGGGTTAAAAACACACAAATGCACTGCAGTTTGTGAGGTGATTTCTCCCCCATCCCCACACCAAAACCTGCATCTCAATTAGTGCTTGACAATTAGTTATTACAAAAACAAAAGGAAAACTGTTAAACACTGAGGTAAATCAATTTTCAAATGATTACCAGTGTAACAGAAAAAAAAAAAGTTTGCCCTGATTGTTCTAAACCAAATGTTTTTTGTAATATTCCTTACCATCTGCCACAAGTAATTTTTAACCAAAGTCTGTTCCTTTTCTAAAATTCAATCATTAATAAATATCAATGTACTTTTCCATTAAAATATAGTTAGGTAACGTAATCTTAAGGATCTCATTTTCATGATAGGCTCATTAAAAAAACTGTTTAAGTAGCTTTTATTCTCAGGGCAAATACAATCTTAGAATCTTTCCAAAGTTACACTGGCACACTATGTTCTTCAAAGGTGGTAAGTAGGGGTTGGGGTGGATAGTTTAAAAGGAAGAAGGAAACAATTTGCCTGGAATCAGTTACTTCCTTATAGATTTCCCAACAATCTGCATTATCAAAAATAGGAAGACAATAGAAGGCAGCCACTGCATTAAAAAACATTACAGCTGGCACTGATACAAGAGCCCCGATTTGTCACTTTATACAAGGAAATAACAAAGTCTAAATGGGTATTAGACTTTTAGCTATATTCCCCAATACACACCAAACTAATTTTTATGGCTTCAAGTTTTACAAACCCAATGAAGAAACATGATGTAACTACCGTAAAGTATTTAAAGTTTTTAATGAAATTATCTCTGGAAAGCCTGTAATTTAGCCAAAATAAAAAAAGAAAATCAAGTAGAACCAGTGGTCAGAAGAATAATGCAAGAAAAATTTGCAATGTTGTGAACTTAAACTCACACAGTGTTTGGTGTGTTCTACAACTGTCTCCCAAACACCACACTGGTCGATGCGCAAAGAAGGCGAACAAATAAAAGGATCTGCTCGAACCAGCAATTTAAGGCTTTGCACTGTGCACCTGATCCTGTCACTCTTTAGGAGAACATACCTGTTCTCTGGAAACCTGAATTCCACATTGGTGTTTTAGCTTCCCTACATTTATCGAACTGAACATTAGAAAATATATTTAGAGAGTTTCCCCTCAAAACCTAACAATGTTTCAAGGACCTCAAGTGTAAACTACCCTGGGTTTGTTTATTTTTGCTTCATCCTTTAAGAGGGCACATCACCTTATATTAATTATATTCCTTCGAATTTGTTTTCTTGCACCTATAGCTACTGACACATTATATGAAATTGAGTATATTCATGGTCTCCAAAGTGAAAAATAGTCCAACAACCCAAACCTAATCAATTATAAAAAAATATACTATTAATCCCTTGTGTCTTTGGATTCCATCTAGTTTTAAATATAGATAATAGTTCAGGGAACAACAAGCCAAAAAATTCACAAAATTATTAAAAGCTTTATTTACGATTGGAATCATTCAACAACAACAAAAAAGCAAAAGCAAATGAGCCTGAAAAAGGAACTAAGCTGTTGTCTAGAATGTCCTCAGAACATTCAATACCTCAGTAGCTAAGCTGCCTTTGCACCTGGCTGGCATGACAACAGTGGCTCAACATACACAGCAGTTGCACTAACAGCAGCACAAATTATCCCCTTAAAACTTGCCCAGAATATAGCAAGAATACAAGGGGAGGGTATAAACTCTGCCAAAGTAAGTGTATTTAAATACTGCATGGAATTGTTAACAGCCTGAACCTTTCCCCTCATTTTTGATAGGTGCAGATTGTGATGTAGTAACTGTCATTTAGCAAATGCAGAATGCATGACGAAGAAATCAGGTGGCCTTAAGAAATCCAAACACGAATGATACTGATGACTGTTCGTGATAGTTCTTCCAGGAAGAGCTTCTTCCGTGACTTCTCTTTGTCTAAGGGCAGCCCCGCATTACTGAGTACCTGAAGCAAAGGGAAGCAGCTAGCAATGTTCCAAGTACTCAATCACTCGAGAGATGGATTTCTGGCCCGTGGTTCCAACAGCACACTGAAAGGGGAAAATGACGGTTAATACTTGAGAAACCAACCTTTTAAAATGTACTATACTATACCGAGCGCTACATACTCATCAAAGCACATTAAGATTAAATTTCTGGGTTTTAATACATAATTGGTACATTTTGACATTATAAATAACAATTATTCTAAAGACAAAGAATTAAGAGAATCCTTTTTAGTTTTCACTCATTATGCCCGTTATTTATATTTCTAGATCATTAATGTATTTTACTTAACAGCTTTTAGTTGCAATTAAAACTACTTACAGTAAGATTCATGAAGCTGAGGAATTTTTTGAGCATCTCTGTCATTATTGAAAAGTCCCCTTCTGGCAGATATTCTCGAACAGTGGTCACATTGATCTGAGCAAATAGAAAACATGAGCTTGCACCTTGCACCGTGTTGGTTTTAAGAGTATATCCTGTTACAAACCTGCAAGGTCCTTAAACTCCAAACTAACATTCAGTTTCCCTTTCCACATTCATCATTGTTAATGTGTGAGAGGGGGACTGGGAAGGAGAGGGAAGGGAAAGGTGTGTGTGGGTGTGGGGGTATCCTTTCTCTATCCCGTTCAGCATCAAAAAAGGGAGGGGGGAAGGTAATGCCAGCCAGCTAAGGCTACAAAGAAACATTTGTAGGCATATGATAGGGCTCCAGAGAGATCATGGAAAACAAAATGAAAGACTGTGGAATTTTTTTCCACAAAATTTTGACGCCCCCTTATATACTCTCTCTTCTGAAACACTTTGGGCCTGATGTGGTTTTCAATATTTTGTCTTTTAAAAAAAATTATTTTGTTGGGTGTGAAAATTCCACAAAATTTTGACGCCCCCTTATATACTCTCTCTTCTGAAACACTTTGGGCCTGATCTGGTTTTCAATATTTTGTCTTTAAAAAAAAATTATTTTGTTGGGTGTGAAAATTCCACAAAATTTTGACGCCCCCTTATATACTCTCTCTTCTGAAACACTTTGGGCCTGATCTGGTTTTCAATATTTTGTCTTTTAAAAAAAATTATTTTGTTGGGTGTGTGTCTACCTCCCTTTTCAATGCCCGAAGAGAACACAGTATTTTTCCTTTTGTTGTTAAAGATATAGGTAAACTATAAACTAGTCCAGCATAAGAAGAACATGCAACCTGCCTAGAAAACTGTTGTTTCATGATTATTTTTTGAAAAAGTTAAAACATCTGAAAGAGTAAAAGGAACAGCTCTTCTCAAAAGGTTCATGTTCATCTACACTACAGTTTTTGGTGGAAGCAGAGAATGACAGACTGCATATGATCCCTCCTACCCACTTTTGAAATTCTAAGAAAAGTAAAATAAATGGGATACAGCTATAGTTCCAGGGAGAAGCTCAACAAAATGTTGCTAAAGTAGCCATGTGCTAATGTATAATTCATCAATCACCTATATTCAAACTAAGCCTCCCACCAAAAGTCACCACAGGCCCAAAGTACAAATTCATTTCTAAGTAAAAAAATCTTGCTGTTATTTCTTGGAAATTTTATACACACACACACACACACACGCATCAGCAATGTTTGATTTGACCCAGAGTTAAAGAAAAGCTGGATTTAAAAATGTCACCTTCATAGAGTTTCTGGGAAAGCAGCACCGCAGAGCAGTAGGAAGAAATGGTTCTGGTGACTGTGTAGACAAGTGGTCCTCAACCTTCCTAATGCTGCAACCCTTTTATACAGTTCCTCATGCTGAGGTGACCCCCCTCCCCAACCTAACATTATTTTCATTGCTACTTCATAACTGCAATTTTGCTACTGTTATGCAGACGGCCCTTTCACAGGCGTCGCCCGACCTCCAAGGAGGTCGTGACCCACAGGTTGAGAACTGCCGCTGACAAGTCCACTGACAAGTCTACATTTAGAAAAGAATTAAACCGCTAGATTCTATGTTTGGGATGAAAGTACTTCATTAGCCCCAATCAAATTACAATCTATTAACACTACAGAATAAAACAGTGAGAGGGCTGCTGGGAAGGACGGTCATTCATTGACTTGTAAACACAGGGAACCAGGTAGAAAAACAAAAAGGCTTGTAAAAGAAAACTGAAGATATAATGGGGCAGAGAGTAACAGAAACAGAACCACCAGAATCAGAAGGCCGCCGTACTGTGAAGAATGTAGTTGTGTCTGTCACTGAATAGATTATACAGAAATGGCTGAACAGGCACTGACTGTTGCAACTGCTCTCAGGTGTCTTTTGCAGTCAAGAAGGGACTCACCACCCGCAAACAGCAAGCAGTTTATTTGGAAAGGAAGGAAAAGGACCTGCTGCGGCAGGTGTAGACTCGGGTGAGCTGCTGCTTGATGCACTGTGTACTGGGGCTTTCATCAGGTGCAGGCTACTTGCCCTGTTGGTGTCCAGGTTACACACAGACCAGCACTGGGTCTGCTCCTATTACTCAGGTCTAATCATAAATCTGGTCATGCTCTCCCCTCAGCTGGGTCTTGCACAGTCACAGACAGGGAAGTACGCATGCAAAAGGTCAGCAGAACAAGTCTTTGGTTTGTTGATTTTGGAGGTTAGAATCAGCGCAGGGGTGCGCTGCCGGCAGGCTTGAGATTTGAATCGTCCTGGCTGTTGGGATCTCCCTTCACAGACATCCTGATGCTCTGAATGCTTCTCACAGGACCTCTTTGTCCTCACTCTGCCCATGGGCTCACAATCGACCCCTCTCACTACTGCAATAAAGCATTAGTGTTTTAAAAAGATGTGAAAAAAGCACGAGCTGTTTGGGAAATTAAAAGTATCCTCGGGCTATCAGGAATACAAGGCTTGGAAATTCGAAACAGTCTTAACTCAGGGGCCTTGCAATTAAAAAAATTTTTTTTTAAGTCATCAATTCCCTAAACGAGCAGCAATTTACAGGAAAGAGTTATTGGATCAGAATTGATTTTATAGTGGCAACGAGAAAGAATCCAGGAACACAGAATCAGGGAACAGGAAGGGCAGGACAACCTGGGGAGACTGACCTTGTAACGCAGCAGGTGCACAGTGGTAAAAACTAGTGGTGGACAATGGAAATGAGACTGGATACTCCTTAGCTGCCTCTGCCCACTACTCAAACACACTGCAGCATCAACAGGAAACAACCACCTGCTTTCTTGTCTCTGTAACTTACGTCGGGAAAGCCAATTTCCTTTAAATCTGGAGATATCAGCTTGCTTTTTTTTTGGGGGGGGGGGCTGTTTGTTAATCATAATCCTTCAGGCAATGAAGATAATTTAGACCCAACTTCCTAATATTCCCAACGACTTATGAACCTTATAATCTTTTCAGAGACCAGCAATAAAAACACAAGTAGGAATTCATAACATGTGAAGATGGCCCAAGTTGCATCACTTGTGGTTATAACACAAGTTAATTTCAATAAATTAGACAGTGAGATGCAGAGCTTGCAAGACCTCCTGTGGCAATGATAATTCCAGTCTGGAAACTGCTAGCAGTCGTGCCAGAAAAGGCCACGATGACCTGGCAGTAGGGTGGAGAGAGCAGACCTTGACAGAGATGCAAGCACGAACGGAACAGAAGAGAGACTAGAAAAATGAGAAGGACTGAGGATTAAATACAAAAACAACAATACAGACAACCAAAAAAGCACACGTGTGGGTGACCCTACTTACAAGGAATAAGCATTATAACACCTCTTACTAAATTCTTCCTGTTATCCTTTCACTCTTTTCATCCAATCCCCCAGCTTCTAAAAAAAGATAGACTTTAGACCTTTTCCCCTATTAAAACTAACCCATCACTCTTTCTTAGGGGCTCCATAGGTCTAATGAATGACTAAGATTACGTTGCTAGATGAAACCCAGCAAGTAGCTCAACAGGAGAAAGGCCTGGCGATCTGTTCCTGTAAAGATTTCAGCCCAGGAAACTCTATATAGGGACAGTTTTGCCAGGTGACTATTATTTTAGAATCAACTCAATAGCATTTAACAATCCTTCTTTCTTGCTTTGTGAATATTAATTTTTAAACATCCCTTACGAGGACTTGAAGCATTTGCTGATGAAGGTCAAGGATTGCAGCCTTCAGTATGGATTACAGCTCATTGTAAAGACAACCAACATCCTCACAGCTGGACCAACAGACAACATCATGATAAATGAAGAAAAGGTTGAAGTTGTCAAGGATTTTGTTTTGCTTGGATCCACAATCAATGCTCATGGAAATAGCAGTCAAAAGATCAAAAGACATACTCCACTAGGTAAACCTGCTGCAGAAGACCTCTTTAGAGTACTGAAAAGGAAGGATGCTTCTTTGAGGACTAAGGTAACCCCACCCAAGCCATGGTATTTTCAACTGCCTCATATGCATATGAAAGTTGGATGAGTAAAAAGACTTAAGAAAAATCAATGCAGCATATGATTTGTAGGGCCGTAGAAAAATACTCAAAAGTACCATGGACTGCTAAAAGGAAAAACCAATTTGTCTTGGAAGAAGTATGGTCAGAGCACTCCTTAGAGGCAAGGATGGCAAGACTTCGTCTTAAACATGTAGGACATGTTCTCAAGAGAAACCCGTCCCTGAAGACGGACACTGTGTTTGGTAAAGAAGAAGGGCATTAAGCAAGAAGGCAGCCCCCGAGGAGCGGGATGGCCACAGTGGCTGCAACAATGTGCTCACTCAGAGCAACAACTCCGCGGACGGTGCAGGACTGGGCAGTGTTTCACTCTGTTGTGCGTAAGGTCAGTAGTGGGTGGAACTGACAGGATGACACTTACCACCACCACCACAACTACCACCACCCATTTTAAAGGCAACACTCAAAATTACCCTCTTCATTAACTAATTAGACTCATCTTTCTGTTACTCGCATAGAAAAACGATCCCAATAATAACCTTCTAATTCTGTGCTGAGTCAAACTGCTTTGAATTTGCACATTTATCTTAAGTACAAAATGATGACTTCAACCACTCAGAGTAATTGGTTTTCTAGCCAGTGGTTGGTTCAGGCAAAAGCATACAACCTAAGGCTAGCTAATGAGACCATCTCCTACAAAGGGAGGTTCTAAAGAATGTTCATCATTATCATTATTTTAAATCATTTTATTCAGGGCTCATACAACTCATCACAATCCACACACACATCAATTGTGTAAAGCACATTGTACATTCATTGCCCTCATCATTCTCAAAACATTTGCTCTCCAATTACTGGCATCAGCTCCTCATTTTTCCCCCTCCTTTCCCCCTCCCCCCTCCCTCATGAACCCTTGATAATTTATAAATTATTTTGTCATATCGTGCACTAGTACGAAACACATAGCAACAGCCAGCACGGGACATTGGAGAGAGCTAATAAAGGATAAAACAACATGAAGAAAACTGTAGAGTTTAAAGATGAACATTATCCAAGTCTTGATGACATAACTGGAATGATGAATTAAGTTATATAAGACTTGTCTATTGTGTTTAAGCCAACTGAGGCTATGCTTTATAAGTTTATATGTTTCCTTAACCCCAGCCATATATGAATGGAGCACTCCCATCCGATCCAAAGCACACTTACTTTGAAATGCACCTTGGCAAACTTCAACAATCGAATGAAAGTTTTAAATACCATAAGGTTTACCATGATTTTAAATTCAATTTTATGTATGTAAATATTCCTCCCTCTCAACATTAGAAGCTCTCTGATACTCTTAATTTTCAAAATAGTATTTTTTATATTACCAACATCCTAATTCTGAAAAGTACATTCAGTTCTATATAGTTAAGAATCATTTCATCTCAGTCCAAGTCTTATTTAGTAAATCCTCCACTGGAGGTGTTCAGTGTGTTGAAAAATAAAGCTAAGTAATTTAAAAGAAGCTATTAAAAGTCTGAATTTTTCTTGCTTATTCTTTCATCATGAACAAAAAAGGCCTTTAAAAAGTTAAACGATATAGTCAGTCAAAAGTCTGAAACATCATAAATAGGAAAAAGTGTGAATATTCACTGAATGATTTACTTACCGGACTCTCCTGGCACAGACAACCAAGAAGCAGTGCTGTGTATGAGGCCACGATGCAATCTTCCATGTGTTTGCCAGCATGCTGAAGGGCTGAAAACATTTACATAATTATAACAGTATTCCCAAAATAAAAATCCCCATAATAAATTATTTTTGTTGTATTTTCTTTATGATTGCCAGACATCAACCAACAAGACTAGAACATTTGGAAATGCACATGTAAAATGGTCACCTAATACAAATTAATAAAAAGTAACTCAATGTAGGACCACTGACCTACATTGAAGAGCTAAACTCTCAAATTTCTTAGAAGATGACACAGAAATAAATCTTCATGATGCTGGATTAGGCAATAGTTTCTTATATAACTATAACAGCATATATGATAAAAGAAAAAATACTTATAAATTATATTTGACCAAAATAAAAATCCTGTATGCTTCAAAAGACACCATCAGACTTGCAGAATCAAATTTTCAAATCATGTGAGTGATATGGGACTTGTATTGAGTATATATAAACACATAACACAATAGCAAAAAGGACAAATAATTTTATTTGAAATCTAAAATAGGAAAACGATTTCGAAGAACATTTCTCTATAGAGATATAAAAATTGATTAAGCACATGAAAAGATACTGAACCTTAGAAGCCATGAAATCACAATGAGCTATCACTTTATACTTACTACAATGATGAAAACAAAAATAAACTTAAAGAGAAAAATTATAACGTGTCTTACTAACATTAAGGAGAAATTGAAATCTCTCAGTATGTTGCTGGTGGAACTGCAAAATGCTGCGGCTGCTGTAGAAAAGAGTTTGGTAGTCCCTCAAAAGAAGTTAATAGACTACCCATGCGACCTAGCAATCTCATTCCTAACTATATACTCAAGAGAAACGAAAACATGTCCATACAACGACTTATATACGAGTGTTCACAGCAGATTTATAATAAACAAAAGGGCAAATGTTCATTAATGAATAAACAAATACATCTGTAACTTGGGCTAATTAATCATGAAAGTACTGTGTCAAGAAGACATCCCCACAGCTAGAGGCAGATCTACAATTCAGGAAATGCCTGAATTGCCGATCACTGAGAACTATTAAAAATGTTAAGTGTGAAAGCTTGAGTTAAGTAGTAGTTTCTTATTGTACTTTTTTGTTCCATTAGCAATCCTCCCCTCTTTCCGTGGCCCCATCTCTACTAACAGCGCTCAAACTACCAGGAAAACCACCTAGCACAACTAAAATAAGAGGACCAGGTAAAGCGGGACACCATTGACTGGGGTGGGGGTGGGGGAGAAGGGGTGGGAGGGGGGTTCTTGATTAAAATTTGGTCTATATGGAACAACAAAAATTTCATAGAATGCAAAAATAGTATTGTAATATATATTTTGATTTCAACATAAATACAAATTACAAATATAATACATTAAAAGATTATGTATAGTGTTTTATTCTTTAGCACATTTCTTATTTGAGTGAATTTTTTTTAGCAGATTGCTGTCGTTTAAAAGGTCATGAAAATTTTCATGAGAATTTGTTAAATTATATTTCACACACGAAATGGCTTTCAAAGTCTCAACACTTAATTGTGAATTTTCTGATGTCCACACTTTATTTACCGTAGAAAAAACGTGTTCAGTCGCAGCATTCTACAATTTTTAGTGCATTATTGTATGGAACATGGTTTGTTTCAAAATGATGAAATATTTCTAACCATTTGTTCTGTATTGTGATTTTTGCCGATGCCCAAGATTTAACCTTTTCCTTATCAATACATATTTTTTAAATAATGAAACCTCATTAAAAAGATCATTTTCAGAAATATTACTGTATAGGAAATTTTCTGTGTAATATAATTGAATGATTTTTGCACATCATTCCAGTACTGCCTGCTAAATTCAAGAAAATTTACGTATTTAGAAATAAATAAATTACTAACCTAAAAAAAAAAAAAAACCCCATCCCCAAAGACCACTGAAGTTATGAATTGTCTAGATTTGCCAGTACTTCCATTGGAAATCACTCTTTCCCTGGGAACTTTTCCTTTAA